TTTGAATATTAATGTTAAGGAATTGAGGAAAGGAAATGATAGATCTTTAAATCAAAGGAAATGAATACACTTGCTATTCAATTTAATATACTCCAATTTCTAGACTAAAGTTGTTGAAAGAATTTACTTAGCTTGTTTACGAAGTATCACACACACAAAAAAAAAATATACCAAAAGAAAAAAAAGGAATGAAGAAAGTATCACAAAAAAATGGCATCATCAATGGTTTTAGGCGGGGAAAAATTTCATAAGAAAGCAGCACGTATACAATTTTGAAAAGAAATGATGTCAGCATGTTTTATTTTATCCTTTTTGATAGTCCCTTATGGGCATTTTTCACAGGAATTAATAAAAACAAATAAGAATAGTAAAAGTACATTGAAAAAGTAAATTGACATTGGATATGCAAAAAAGTAGAGAGATAAAGTAATAAAAGTACATGGGAAAACTAAATTTACATGGGAAAATTAAATTTGCACAAATATTGTTGCAAATTGGAGGAAATTTTGGTAAAAAAATTAATATTAATTGTTGTTGGAAAAAACAAATGGGATGAACATTTTGGGACTAAAATTTATCCATAAGGGAATATAAAAAGGGGACGGAAGAAGTATGTAGTATAAGTAATTCATGCCACAAAATTTTAGAAGGTAAACAAACAAGGACACAAGGTCCCATAGAGTGGCCAACTGGCCGTAGCCCCATTGATAAAAACAACCAGCCATGATACGTGCTATGCATTTTGGTGAAGGCTGTAAATTTTGGGGGCCCTAGAAATCTAAAATTGAAAGACATATATATTTGCTGATTTAATACATGTTTCTTAAGCATTGTTAGTTACAGTCTTCTTTTTTCGTTTGTCTTTTTAAACTTGAGCCATTTCTTAGCTTATAGTAGTATTTAGCACAAGAGCAAGAAGCCTATAGCTCAGTGGTGCTAAGCTTCAGTTCCCGTGGTAGTGACCCGGGTTCGAGGCTCATATCCCCCCTCTCCTGTGGGTAATACCCCCTTGATATTCCTGTGATAGGAAATTAAGGTGGGGCCCACCCCTTACCCCAAATATATATATATAAATATATATATATAAGTAGTATTGCTTCACTGCCATAAAGTCGAATTTGTCCCGTACTCGTACACCCGGACTCATAACAATCGACATCCAGGGTTACACGACTCTAACTCTCCGGTGTACTTCAAAGAGCTAGATTGAGAACACAATGATCAATGCCCAAAACAAGAAATTATTTTGTGTAACATTTTGGAGTAAAGAAGAGAAGTATATCTTTTAATTGTCTATCTCCCTCGTGAAGTGGAGGATGCTTCAATTTATTGTGGAGTAGTATGTAATCTTTTCCGTGTATCCAAAAAGAAGTGGAGGAGCTTCATTTATATAGAAGTTTCACCAAGCTCAAGTCAAAAGAAGGGAGTTAATATTTCACGGCAACCATGCATAAGAAATCAATCAAAAACCCTTTAACTATGCATGTTTACTAATTATTTAGTCTTCCATCTATGTATTAAACGGCTAGAGAGGAGGAAATATATGATGATCAAAGTCAACTAATTGCCATAATCATGGTATCAATCAAGCAAATTTGAATTTTGATCTTTTGAAGCAAAATCAATGAACCTAGACTTGGAGTTGTACTATGGGAATAAGTGAATAACTCCAACATTCCCCCACATGATTCAAAAGAGCAAAGTTAAGAAATTTGGGCAAAGGATACTCGGTTTTGCAAGTATCAATGTCTTGTGGACTTGAATTGATACCCAGTACTTACAATTGTGTTATGCAGTCATGTAGGGTGGACTTGACCTTGAACCTTTCATGAAGTTATATAAACACAGTTGCGTACTAAACCTTTCTCAAATCAAAGATGTTATCGCGAAATTAAAAAAAAAAGCCCCACATATGCCTGGATTTTTCATGAATGCTCTAGAGGTCCTAGCCTTTGGAACCTCATAGGGGATTGGGCGTAACCCCCACATTCACATAGGTAAGTTCATCAAGTTTGTACTGCCATAAACCACATTTATATATTAAGGCTATGAACTTATTAAGAGTTCTTTAACTCAACCTCATACACATAGCAGTAAGAAGTACCAAATCTCTTTATTAATATGGAATGGTCGTGGTACTATAATTAAGCTCTTTTGTGACTTTGTTTGACCCATTGAACTTAGAAATTTCTAAGATGGGTATCAATCACAATTCACTCCTCATAGGCTTAGACCCATTCCCTTGTGCTGACTCTAGCACCAATTTTTCTATAAAGGCCTTTATTTAGGGAATCTCTAATATTCCTCTCACATCACGTGATCACACAAATCTATGATTAATATTCATGCCACTAGCATGTATATGTTCTTTTCCATTATAAGCTACCTCAATTGTAACTTATAATTCACAACACATGTATTTAATAATGGAGTTGGCTCCCCCCAGAATTGATATCTACTAATAGATTTTGCAATAAGATTGTATAACGTTTTGAGCCAAACCTTCATAAAACTCATCATTGTTGGTTACTTTGTAAGCATTTTTAAACTTGCAAATTTAATTCTTATTTCACAGTACCAAACAATGATCATTAGAGAGCACTTTCATAGTCTCCACCTGTACTATGATTAAGATCATGACAATATTCTCGTTACATAACAACATTAAGTTAGAAGCATATAATTCACAATCATGGTCAAACTAATAGATCACGAGAATAATCATGTGATGACTTCTCACACCATAGCTTTGGTGCTCAATTTAATATATAATAAACTTATTTACCTTGTATTATTTCTTACAAGGACACATACTTAGAAAAAATTCCTCCGCTTTTAATTTCATAACTAAGTTGTCATATTAGTTTGCAATATAAGCGTTCATTTTTTAAACCACCATCAAAACATTAAAGGATAATAATGCAAACAAGACAAATGAACGCACAAACTTAGTCATGATGAGAAATAACAAAGATAGTCAATCACCAAACCTTCAGTGAAGTTATATCAATTTCTTTACTTTCAACTGACTCATGAAAGTCAACATTACATCCAATGGATTTATTATAGTTAGACAAAACTGACTTTCACAAACTTCGATAGATCACAAATAAGGGCTTATATTTAGCTTGTTTCTCTCCAAAATTAGCACACACAAGGACATGGTTTCTTCATATGGTTATGGATATTTATCCATCACTTTTTGAAGACACCCCACGACTTATTCTAATCCTCCATCCTTTCTAATTAAGAAAGAAAATTAAACTTAACTAGTTTGGATCATAACTTTACTTCATGCTAGTTGATATATTCATCAACTTCACAAAAGAAAGGTCAAAGAGAAACATGAAGCAAATTAAATTACATGAATCAGATTGCAAATTATCATACCATTGCAATGATGAAATACGTTCTTAATGTGACACATATCATTAATAAATTCGAAGAATAACACAACTCAAGTCATTCTCAAATTAATATTATGTCAAACACAACGCTTTAAAACATAATGACATAATTCTAAAACCAATCAAATTAGCACACTCAATCTTGATCACATATTAGGTCCTTTAAATAGTATATTCAGCATATTCAACAATCACAATATCATAGAGCCTCAAAAAATGACTACGAAGCACACCAAGCTAAAGAATATTTCACCTTAAATCGGTACCCTCACACAACAAGCATTTTATGTTATCACATAAATAATATGTTATTCAAGGGATACTTAGACAGACTCTCGTGAGATGGACCTTAGCTTTAGCCAGCATAGTGAGCTGAAAACATTAATAACCCTACATATAGGTTACATTACACAAAGCTAAAATACATGCTATATATTTAAAAGACCTTTAAAACAAATTAGGCTTAATCCTCTTCTATTATGCGGATTTTTCATAATTCCAACCATTTACCATCCTAACTCCTTTAGAAATGATCAAAACAAAAAAACTTACAAGTAGAATAAAATTACATATAGAATTTTATTCTCCAAGCTTGATAAAGGAACTAAGTCATCATGAATTAACTCATATAGATGTCACATTTGCATAGGATGTGATAAACAATTGCCTTAACACAATTATCATATCTATTACACACGAGATCAAGATCAAAGACACACAAGGCTCTTCAATAGCCACATAACCAAATCCCAATCAACCATGACTCTTAATATTGAATGTAACACAATAAACAAAACTCCATAACTCACAACATAAAACCAACAACGGGCCATGAAGTGTTTTTATAGAGGCTTCCCTTCTCATCATACTCATAAAAACAAGCCAAAATAACTCGGTAGTTAGCCTCAAACAGTAACATAAAACCCCAAATTACGCAACAATGCTTAATATATACACTGCGTGTAAATTTAAGAACACACGAAATCAATTGTGTATATATAGCCATATAATATCAACATCAAAGATCCACAATAAATAAAACTCTTATGGTCTCCTTCCTTGATGCACTCCACCAATTTGAGCAAACTAACGTACCCATTACACAAGAATTAATCAACATATACTTTTGCTTTGAAACTTGTATATATAAAAGACACTCGGTATGAATTATGTGTGAGAAAAACATGTACGAGAAGGTTATTGCTACTTGATTATAAAGCATGCACTTCATCAATATAGAATAAATAATTAGGAATTATATACACCATATATATTCCACTCACATTGATAATATCACATACGATTCAAAAACACAATATAAATTCCAAAATCCATGGCTTTAAACAAACAATAAATAATAGTCCTTTGTACCACAAACAAGTGTCACTATTAGCCACAATAGAAATTAAGAATTTCGACTTTATATTGTAGGAAATATGACTAATAGCAATTAATAATAATAGAACAAACTTATCTAATTTAATGTCGTGGCGTGACATAGCATCACTGCCCTAAAGTCGAATTTGCCCCGTACTCGTACACACGGACTCATAGCAATCGACCTCCGGGTTACACGACTCTAACTCTCCGGTGTACTTCAAAGAGCTAGATTGAGAACACAATGATCAATGCCCAAAACAAGAAATTATTTTGTGTAACATTTTGGAGTAAAGAAGAGAAGTATATCTTTATTTATTTTTTTTTGAAGCAAAACGGGCAAATTGTATTAATTATTCAAAGCAAGCTTATCCATCAATACACAGGGTGCAATATCCGGGGGGCTATGATTAACCCAGATTTGCTCATCCCCAAAAGGGAAGAATCTAGCTAAATGATGTGCAACCATGCATGTTGCCATCACGCTTAACATGAACAAAAGAAATGGAATTAAAGCTACAGCTAAGTGCTAGAATGTCTTCAAGAATGGCATCCAGCTCGGTACAGTAGACCATTGATCTTCCCAGCCTGCTCACAATCGCTTCACAATCTGGTTCAACCACCACATCTTGCAGCCCGTACCTGATTCCTAGTCTGAGAGCCATAACAATTCCCTTAGCTTCTGCAATCATGGGCTGCCACCATGCTCTGGAGCGTCTCATAGCAGCGAAGATAACATCACCCTTGTGAAGTGGAGGATGCTTCAATTTATTGTGTATCTCCCTTGTGAAGTGGAGGATGCTTCAATTGTGTATCTTTTAATTGTGTATCTCCCTTGTGAAGTGGAGGATGCTTCAATTTATTGTGGAGTAATATGTAATCTTTTCCGTGTATCCAAAAAGAAGTGGAGGAGCTTCATTTATAAAGAAGTTTCACCAAGCTCAAGTCAAAAGAAGGGAGTTAATATTTCACGGCAACCATGCATAAGAAATCAATCAAAAACCCTTTAATTATGCATGTTTACTAATTAGTCTTCCATCTATGTATTAAACGGCTAGAGAGGAGGAAATATATGATGATCAAAGTCAACTAATTGCCATAATCATGGTATCAATCCAGCAAATTTGAATTTTGATCTTTTGAAGCAGTGGCGGACCCACCCTTGGTCCAGGTAGGTCACGTGACCTAGTAAAAAAAATAAAAATAAATTTAAATTTAAAAAAAAAAACAAAAAATAACGGACAGTACTGGAAGGGGAAAAGAAACAAAACAGAGACCAAATCCAAAATACACGCACTCTCATTCTCTCAAATCTCAATCTCTCTCTTCGCTCTTCGTGACTCACTCGTCGCCGCACCGCCTCGCCGGCCGCTCCATCCGCATACACACACACTCGGCGCTCTTCGACTCTTCTTGCTGCTAGGTAAGTTTATTTTTAAGTTTTTAAATTTTTAAATTATACCCAAATTGTTGAATTCTTGGGTTGAGTACTTGAATTTGTGATTAATTGAGTTGATTATGTAATTTAATCTAGTCAATTAGTGTGTGTTCTATTGTTTTTTGAAATTGTTGATAATTTATCAATTTAGGGAGTTAGGGTTTTTGAATTTTTTTTTTTAGGAATTGAAATTGTTTCCTGTAAATTGATAATTTGATATTATAAATTGTTTCCTGTAAATTGATATTATAAATTGACAGTAAAATTGATTAATTGATGATTTCATATTAGAACTTAGGGTTTCGGTTTTTTTTTTGGAATTGATTAGTTTGGATAATTGCATATGTGGATTGTAAATTGAAGCATTTCTGGTTTTCTTAATCTAATTGTTAATGTAACTTAATTTTCAGAATGAAAAGGAAAAATATGTGTGATATCACAAGTTTCTTTGGTCCGAAAAATCCCCCTCCTCCACAAAGTCCTCCTCCTCCACAAAATCCTTCTCCTCCACCTCCTCCTCCTTTACAAGATCCACCTCCTTCACCACAAAATCCTTTTCCTCCACCTCCACCTCCACCACCACAAAATCCTTTTCCTCCACCTCCTCCACCACAAAATCCTTTTCCTCCACCACAAAATCCTCTTCCTCCACCTCCTCAAAATCTTTCTCCACATCAAGAAAGTGAACAACATTCTTCTCCATCACATAACTTTACTCTCAATGAAGATGGACAATTTATTCCTGAAGTTACTTCAAGTCCTAGAGCTCGGGTTGATGATGGAAGATTAAGTGAAGATGATATTGCTAATCTTCCACAAGACCCGGGACAAAGGAGAAAAATGAGTGATTTTCATCCTGATGATAGAGATTTAGCGAGGAGGACATACCTTCAAAGAAAGCCTTGCCAACCTCAAGATTTTGAATATCCTCAAACATTTTTCGGAACCAAGAGGCGTCGATTTAATGTCAAATGGTTTGATACTTGGGGCTCTTGGCTGGAGTATAGTGTTTCCAAAGATGCTGCTTTTTGCTTCATTTGCTATCTATTCAAGGATGATAACACTGTTGGAGGTGATGCTTTTGTTTGTGATGGTTTTCGTGGTTGGAATCGATTAAACACATTTCGAGATCATGAAAGCAAACACATGAGTGCTCACCATAAAGCTATGACTGCCATGGAGTTATTCAAGCAACAAAAGGGTAGTATTATCACTGCTCAATCAAAGCAAACGGCGGAAACTAGAAGTGCTTATCGTAAGCGATTGGAGGCTTCAATCACAACCATTAGGTGGCTTACTTTTACTTCAGGGGCTACCTTTTTGTGGTCATGATGAAAAAGAAAGTTCATTGAATAGAGGTAATTTTATTTCTCTATTAACTCTTCTTTCTAAACATGATCTTGAATACTCCAAAGTTGTTTTCAAAATGGCACCCGGTAATTGTCAAATTACTTCTCCAACTATCTAAAAAGATATCATCCATGCTTGTGCAAAAGAAACAACTAAAGCAATACTTGAAGATCTAAATGGTGGTTTTTTTGCTATCCTTGCTGATGAGTCTGCCGATGTTTCCGATAAGGAAAAATTGGCTCTTTGTTTGAGATATGTTGGTAAAAAGGGATAAGCAAGTGTGTGAAAGATTTCTTGGTGTTGTGCATGTTGCTAATACTACTTCCTTGACTCTTAAAGTTGTTATTGAGTCATTACTCATGGAGTATTCTTTGACTTTCTCTCAAGTTCGGGGTTAGGGCTATGATGGGGCAAGTAATATGCAAGGTTCAATCAATGGTCTCAAAACTTTAGTATTGAATGAATGTAAACAAGCATACTTTGTACATTGCTTTGCTCATCAACTTCAATTGACACAAGTTGCCCTTGCTAAAAAAAATTCAGATTGTGCTTGGCTATTTGTTGATGTACTTGCACCTCTCTTGAACTTTGTGGGAGATTCACCTAAGAGGAAAGAATTTCTTCGAGAAAAACAAGTTGATCAAGTTGTTGAGGCATTATCCTTAGGTGAAGTTGAATCGGGAACTGGTTTGAATCAAGAACGTGGCTTAGGTAGACCTTGTGACACTCGTTGGGGGTCTCACTTTAAAACAATTTTGAATGTGCTTGATTTATATCCTACAATCTTGAATTCGCTTGATTCCATTGCCGAATTTTCTGATACAGTTGATTCAAATAAAGCACAATCTATCACACACTTGTTGATGTCATTTGATTTTGTATTTGTGGCACATTTGATGGTTGCTATATTTGGGATAACAAATGAGTTGAATGTGGCTTTGCAAAAACATGATCAGGATATTGTAAATGCAATGGAAATGGTTGATGTAACCAAGTTTAATCTGCAAAAGTTGAGAGATGAAGGATGGGATTCTCATTTGGAGGAAGTTACTTATTTTATGGATAAACATGGAATTGAGGTTCCTAATATGGAGGGGAGATATCATGTTCCCGGGAGAAGAATGTATAGAGGTAATGGCCCACAAGTGACAAATCTTCATCATTTCCGGGTTGAAGTTTTTCTTAGTGCCATTGATCTTCAACTACAAGAATTGGAAAATAGATTCCCGAAGGTAAGTAAGGAACTACTTGTATGTATGTCTTACTTTAATCCCACTAATCGTTTTGCTTCATTTGACAAAAGTAAATTGATTCAACTTGCCAAATTCTATCCTAATGAATTTCCAAGTAATGAATTGAAATTTTTTGGTTATTCTCTTGATAATTTCATCGTTGCTATGAGAAATGATGAGAGGTTTTGGAATTTGAAGAGTCTTAGTGAGACTTCCGTGAAACTTGTTGAGATGGGAAAGCATGAAACCCATGAACGAGTGTACTTGCTTTTGAAGTTGGTTCTAACTCTACCCGTTGCTAGGCAAGTGTAGAAAGGGTATTTTCAGGAATGATGCAAGTGAAAGATAAATTGCGTAATAGCATGGGGGATCAAATGTTGAATGATTGCTTGGTTACTTATATAGCGCGAGATATGATTTTGAATGTTGACATAAATGAATGATATTATAGATCGATATCAAAACATGAAAACTCATAGAGAGCAATTGTAATTTCCTTTATTTGGTTGTAATATGGATATTTATTACTTTTGGAATGTATTTTTTTTTTTAAAAATATTAGCTTTTTTTAAAATATTCTTGCATTAATTATTGATTAGTAGTCGGTGGTGACCTAGCACCCGAAAAATCCTGGATCCGCCACTGTTTTGAAGCAAAATCAATGAACCTAGACTTGGAGTTGTACTATGGGAATAAGTGAATAACTCCAACATATGTACTACAAGAGGATTCGGGTGAACATTTTAGGACTAAAATTTGCCCATAAAGGACTATCATTTGGGGACGGATGGAGTAAGTTAATAGATTGGGGAAAATGTCCAGAATTGTCTACAATTCAGACATGAGTTTAATCATATGTACAATAATGTACAACACATTGCCCGGTATATCTATCATTCTAATCCTAGAATTCTAAGATTAGACTATTTTCAGGTATGAAGGTGACAATAATAATCACAAGTACCAACCCAAAAGGAAGAGGGGAAGGGTTACCCAACCAAGCAACATTCATAAGTTCCTCTTTTGCAGCAGCATAATCAGGGAAGGTGAGTTAAATAAAAATCATCATCTGACAAAATTACATATAAAGGCATCCATTGAGCAGCCGCACCAGCCACCTCATATGACAAAGTTCATCACATCTTATAATGCTAGCTTCCCATTTACTAAAAATTCTACCGTAATCGTCGGCTACGGACGACTACAGACGACTATGGACGACTACGGTAAGAGATTAAATCCCATCCGTTTATTTTTTTATTGACTAATCCTAGCTGTGTAATTCGATACCTCAACAAAACAGTCATCATGTCTAGTAATCAAGTCATTGCATAGTCATCAAATCTAGTCATCAAGTCATTACACAATCATCTAGTCTAGTCATCAAATCATTACATTCATCAAGTCTAATCATCAAGTCATTAACTCTAGTTTGGTTAAATTTATTTTTTCAAAAGTTTTTTTTTTTCCCTTATTTTTCAAATTATTAAATTCTTATATTTTGTTTAATTTCATAATTAAATTGATCATCATATAATCAATAGTTAAAAAAATTAGAAAAACGATGACATTCATGACAAGCGAAAAATTGAAAATTAATTGAGAAACATTAAACGGACAATGGCAGCCATTGATCGAAATTTGCAGTTCTCGAAGAATAAAAAAGAAACAAAACATTATAAAAATGAAAATCTCCAAAACATGGGCAATAAAAAGCTACTGTGTACGCTCCATGTCTTATTTCTTTCTTCCCCAAATCTAATGAGTACATACAAAGATCATAATTCATGGAGTTTGATATAAGTGAACAAATTAAATGAAATCGATCAATCGTTTTTCTCTGTTCTTGGATGGAAAATGATTACTTTTTTTAATTGGAAGATATAATTTCAAGATTCATCCGCAATTGTTTTTTCATTATAATTTTTTTTTTGTTGAATAGCAATCCGCCATTGTTAAATGTTAAGGTTTAATAAAGGTTGAAGATGAATAATACTATTTTAATTTTTTTTTTAAAATTCCTTTATTACGTGCGTTTATTAGGGAAACAAATATTCCCTACCTTATACTTTAACGCTCAATATTTTATACAATTATGCTAATCATGCGTTTAAATTCTTATATTTAATTTAATTTCATAAATTAAAATCAATCATTTATTTGTATTATCACTCATTATATAATTATGTCTTAACATTTGATCAGTCGTACATTCAAGATTAATACGTATGTCAAGAATTAATTTTTGATTTTTATTCATTTAATGATATTGGGATTCATTTTTAGATTAGTCACATTATTTTGTGTTTAACTTTGATTAGTCATATGAATTCATGATTATTATCCGCCATTGTTGAATGTTGAAGCTTTTTGCATGATTTCAGGGTTAAATAAATAAAAATAAAATAAAACAAGATAATTAACTAAAACTGATAAGGTGTTTCCATGATTTTAGCTTCATTTTTTTTATTCAAGCAGGCGTTAATTTTGGAGGTGTTTCTTTTTTTTCTTTTAAATATACAGTAAAGGCGTGATTTGGGAGGGTATCATGATAAAATATTTCCTTATATTTTAATTATCAATTATGTAAATAATTTTTTTTTCAAAATAAAAAATATTTAAATAAATAAAAATAATATCTTAATATATAAGAGGGAGGAATCTGTTCTATAGATAAGTATCATCCTACAAAATATGTTAATTAATTTCATATAATATTTTTATCAACAATAAATAATTTTCGTTAACAATATTTAGGTTTTATAAATTGGGGAGGATGTACAGGTAGTCAGGTACAACTATTGACGTACCTTTTTTTATTTTTGTATATATGTAATTAAATTATGTAATATGGATTGTTATAACTTTACAAGAATATTTTCTCTTGTTAAGATTATAATAACGCTTATTGTTTAGTGAAATGGTTTGTTTGTATTTTTTTAAAATAAAATATTACATTTTTAATTATAACTACCAGATGAACGGATTTGTGCAATAGATACACGGTTTATTTTTATTTTTTTTATAATAGTAAATGTCAAGAGTTGACAAATTGAGCCTATGATCTATATTATATTAAATACCCTAACACATTGGAAATGCCCAATCAGTGTTTGGTATGGTATCAAACATAATACAGTAAGGTCTAAGATGATTCGATGAACTAATTGATGTAATTGTTATTCATAATGAGAAATACCACTTTAACAAAAAATATTCCTTTCCTTTTTTCTTTTCAAAAAAAAAAAATCTTTTTAATTCTTTTTTGTCCTTTATAATAATAATAAAAAGTAAATGATAGAAATGCGTATAAAAATAGATTATATGGTAAATCTCATGCATAATTGCATATAGTAGTAACTAGTTTAAATCCCGTGCAATGCACGGTTTTTACTTAACCTAATTTTTAATTACAATATTAATTTAACAAAAACTTGAAATAGATACTTGAATTTCTTTTAAAAAAACAAATAATAATAATAATAATAATAATAATAATAATAATAATAATAAAGGGAAAACAAAACTTGAGTTTAATATTATATTGATGTCAAAAGTTATTGATCATTAAACATTTGTTTTTTAAAAAAAATAATAGGATTTTACATAAGAATTAAATTTTATGTTATTAATTATAACCCGTGCAATGTACTTTTTTTTAGAGAAACATGTGCAATGTACATACCTCAACGTCCTAATTTTGTTGGCATGTTTTGACCGGCACAATGTTTTATAGCTTACTTTGACCAATATAATGTTTTATACAAATTTAATTGACTTTTTTTTGTGATAATTAATAATCAAGGTTTTTTATTTTTATTTATTGAATTGTAGTGTTATTATTATAAATAAATCAACAAATATATACTTCGTAATATAAGTTAAAGAGTCAATCGAGGTTGGAGCAAAAAAAAAAAAAAAAAAAACTTCGAAACTGGAAAATTTTATCGAGCACAGAAAGCTGCTGAGGCATGTGGGAAGTAGCGTCAGGGGCCAGAGCTTGGCGCCAGACTTTTAGCCGTAGCGCCAGACGCCAGTATTGGCGCCAGGCGCTACAGTTAAAAGCTGGCGCCAGTCTCTGTTTGCTGGCGCCAATTTCCCCCAATACCGAGCCAGAAATATGCTTTCTAATTCCGACCGGTTTTTCTCACTTTTCTGAAACCCATATGTGTTCTACATATGGACATAACCCTCTGGGAATTCATGCTCTATCTACCCGATTGAACGCTCCGTGCAACAAAGGGTACATCCGAGATGTTGAATTCACCAAACCATAGAAGCGAGTTTTTTTCTAAAGCTCGCGGTGTCCCATCCACTCGCGCCAACCCTTCACGATTAGGCTTCCGCGCGGTGCATCCGGACAATTAAACATGGACCCTCTTTGACTAAACCATATCCCGAACTTTAAAGAACTAGAGCCATGGTTAGGTTGCGAATGCATTGCATCATGTTGTGCCTACTTGACTAATTGTGCATTATTTGTTGTGCATATATATTCTATATTTCTCTTAACCGTTTGTTGACTTGTGTTGAGACTAAATCAATTAATGGCTTAAAGAACTTTTCCTAATTAATTAATTAGAGTCATTAAAGTCTAATATTTTAATTGGAATTGACCTAGTACGACTTTAGGCATACCCCACTTGACTAATAACACCGAAAACTGTCCCAGACCGAAGCTCCAAAACTGGCGCCAAGGTCTGAGCTGTAGCGCCACACTATGAAGTGTAGCGCCTGACGACACCTCTGTCATCTGGCGCCAAGCTCCACAGTGTGACGCCAGTCCTGTCGCTTGGCCGACAGTTCGGATTATTGGTCGAGTCATCACCTAGGGTCTAATCAACCAGTTTGCTAATTAATTCGGTTAATTTTCGCTGTCAATAACACCTTGTCAAGTCATTAATCGAGTCTTGGTCACATAGTCTAGCCACATGGTCATGACACGAGTCTCAACATGTCACCTACACTCACTAGTCTTAACACGCACTTTGAGTATATATCACCTTGACCATGTCTTAGGTTCATGCATGAGTCGGTATTTCCGTCATTTGAGTTGGGGGTACATTCTACTCCTAATTCTTCATATCCCTCCATCTAAATCTTCTTCACATTCTATTCCAATCTTTCTTCACTTCCTCCATCCATTGCATGTTGAATAAAGTTTGAGTCAAATAATTAACAATAAGTATCCCCAAATTCCTTTTCCACAGTACTTGGTCGAGGAGAGAAGGGCAATTAATCAAGAACAACCTCTTTATTCAAGTCTCACTTTTTGATAAACCGATTCGTCAAAAGAGGAAGGCTAAGAAGATAATGGCAACTCAAGAGGAAGTTAATGAACTTAGGAGTCAATTGACTAACGTGACTGAGACACTGAAGCTACTCACACTCAAGGTCGATGATCCCGTGAAGCAACAACAAATGAACCTCATGCAAAAAAGTTTGAGGAAACTATCTAGCGATTATAAATTTCAGGGCATGAGTTCACAAGGGGTCTCGCTGGACAAGGAACTTCTTTCACATAAGTTCAACGCCACTAACATCCCTAAATTCAAGGCAACAGATAACCCTTACTTTCATCTAAGAGCTTTCGAAACCATAATGAACATTAAGGGTATCGATAAGAAGGTTTTCCCCTCTCTATTCTCACTATCTCTTGAGACTGTTTGCCAACAATGGTACTTCTCCCTTGACAAGGAGAAAACCTCAACCTGGGAATTGATAGTAAACGCTTTCATTGATAGGTACAAGTGCAATATTCAAGTTGAAACCGACCATACACAACTTGAGATGCTAAGACAAAAA